CAGACAAATCAAGCATCATGCGTCATATTTTGTTTTCCAAAAGAGCTTCTTGGCTCTCTGTAAGGCTAATGTTTCTAAAGTTACCATTGTCTCTGCCTGTTTTCACTGATGCTGCCGTCACGTGCTACCAGAATGATCGTAAATAGGAATGTAGTAGTTAAAAATTGCATTTGGAAGCAATGTGAAGTCAGTAATACGGTCACCACCAGTTAAACTGTAACACTGGTGGTATGCCGGAGCATGAGCTCTTGAAGCTTCGTCCTCTTCTGAAAAAGGAGGTGGGAGCACCAGCTCATTTGCATTTAAAGGGACAAACACAAAAACAGCGCATTTTGGCTCATACCCTTAAAGTGGCAAGTTCAACAAGCTACAAAAAAATTCTCTGTGGGGTATTTTGAGATAAAACTTCACATACACACTCTGGGGACATCAGAGAACAATTTAAAATATTGTATCGATGCATTCTATGGCACCTTTAAGTTTTCTACTTTAAGTTTTCTTATTACAGTGTAGTATGTGTGCATCAACTGTAAATGGGACTGCTTTACTGTCAATATATCAGCCATTTACCTTATATCTAATTAAACCTGCATCAAAGTCGAGCGGCAACCTCCCGCTCTCTCTCGTGAAGCCAATAAGGAAGTGACTTAAACTGTAATTCATCAAGCTGGCTGCAAAAGGGAGCCAATCCCATAGACTCCCCATGTTAAAATGCCCAACTTTACAGCAGAAAAAAACATGTTTACAGCCTGGTTCAAAAAATGATTTTGGTCTATATAGCTAATTTTGCCCTTTATGACAACTGTGAGGGGGGTGAATTTTTTAATAACTCATCCGTTTACATTATATTAAGCCTTAAAATTCTGCATAATTAAGGGTGTGGCCACTTGAGTGGCAGGTGGATTACCGCTACTGTCACCACCATCGAGCTAGGTGGGCGTGATTTCAGCAGCCAGCTCCCGCCTCTTTGCCCATTTTCGATTATCCGAGTGACGCGCTGCCAAGATGGCGACGGTTGGCTCCGCCTACTTTAGGCTTCAAAACGCTCGTCGGAAGTCTACGGGTTAGGTCATGGACACTACGTCCATGTTTTTATACAGTCTATGATCAAAGTAGGTAAAGTCATAATACAAAGCCATAAAAACAAAGATGCTTACTTCGGAACACACATGCACATTGGCTGGTTCAGCCTGAAATATAAGCTTTCTTTAATGCTATTTGAGCAACATTTATGGGACAGTTAATATCGAATTTCGTTAAATGTGAGATTTTAAGATTTCAGGATTTCCCCATTCCATCAGACAGGACTTGGGCTTGGATTCCTGAAATAGCTTTCCAGAGGCATTGCAAATATAGCTGCAGAGTGAAAAGACTTTCCTTGAAAGAGACTTTGCCTGCATCTTTTCAAATGCACGCTGCTTTTTCTTTTTCTTTTTAAGTTGATCTGCTAAATAGCAGTTTCTGTGGTTATTTTTGTCTGAAAAACAAAAAAAAACTGTGCATCCCTTTTTACTTGCTAATAATAAAATGCATGCAAACGCCAACAGTGTTTTCTAAACACCTTATAGCAATCACTTCTGTTTTGTGCAAGAGAAGAGAGAAGTCTTGCATTAACATGTCTGCTACTACCATCTAACCCTCAATGAAGTGCAGCTCGGGGGGCTGAAGACTGAAAAAAAGGAGTGGTGACTGCAGGCCATGAGTTTCTGGGGTGCTGTTACATGGGAGTTTAACTCTTTATTGGCATTCCTGCAGTTCTGGAAAAAAGCAACAACATCCCTCAACTCACCTGCCTACCACAGCAAACCTTACATAATAACATCCCACAGATTTTTCAGAATGAAAGTGTAACCCGTCTGGAGTGAAATCTCATCTTCCTGCTGGCTCTGTGTAATCTTCACTTCTTTAAATCATCCTTTCCTCAAAGCGTCCTGAAGTCAAACCGAGTGTCTGCTGTACATCAGAGAGCTGAACGGACATGCTTTAAAGAGTCCTTCTACATGTCACACAGAATTAACAAGCCATTTCACTTTCAATAATGAACACTTCCTTGACGCCCTACTCCCACAGGACCTGAATATTCATTCCTTTATGTAAAGAAAACTGTGCATTACATAACTTAATGAATCAGCGACCTGCACGATGCGTATGAATTTCTTTGTTCACGATTGCCACATTTAGCATACACACAATCATACATCAGCACTGCAAATGAAACGGATCACAAAAAACATCAAGGTTTTGGACACCCTCCATATTTTCAATGTAAATAGTTTCCAAAAAAATTAAAAATAACATGACTCTCTTTCCTTCCATTTCATGGCACCCAATGTCTCTCAATGGAAAGAGAGCAAAGACCAGCTGAAATAAAGGCAACTGCGTAAGACGTTCTCATTGTTTCCGGCTTTAACACTGTTGAGACATGTACGCTTCAACACATACAAAATTGTAACATTGCAACTGATCTAATTACTTCATTACTATGTGCTAAATCTAATTAGAAAATCATCCTATATACATCCACAGAACATATGTGACTGCACATCCTGTTTTTTTGAGAAACATTACAACTCCACACCACTAAATTCTAAAATCATTCTTCATCTAGTTACCTAGTGGCTAATGAAACGCAGTCCACCTCTACAAAGAAAAGAAGCAAAACTAGAGATGCACCGATGGCAATTTTCTAGGCCGATTCAGATTTAAGATTTTTTGTTAGTGTGATCTGCCGATACCGATTTTTGCCGATTCCGATTTTCTTTCTAAGAACTATAACTGACAGCTTATACAAACAAAAATCTACTTTTCTTCAACGCAAAGTTTTATTTTAATTTAAAAAACACAAGTAAAAAGTCAGTAATAAAATAAGAACAAATAAAAAAAATTGCAAACAACAGCACAAATAAATGCAGTAGAATAAAGAGAGCTATGAAACTAAGTTTTTATTCAGGTAAGAAATACTACAGAAATTAAAGTAATCAAATGTAAAATAACACATCCAGTGTTATTTTACATTTTATTAATTTCTGTAGTCTTCATTGTAAAAATTAAATACAGATTAATGCTTACCATTAAAGCTATAAAACGGATTCAGTCAAGAGCAGAAAGTGGTTTTCTTTGTCTTTTGTTCTTTGATTAACATGACAGACAGCAGCAGGAATATTGGACTGCGGTCCCTTTAAGAGGTTATCCACGGACCCAATGTACTGTTACACAACATGCATTCTCTTTCTCAACTATTTAACGTTCCAAAACTGACTGTGTTCAACTGGATACTCGCCAAGACGGGCATTTTGACATAATTCTGTATGTATTTGAATGTTTTAGTGTAGTTAGCCACTCATTTTGGTATTTGTGGCTCACAAGCTGTTTGAGACCCGAGTGCAGCTTGTGCGCTGACTGCGCTCCACTAATATAGATCTGTGGTGGTGCGTGTGCTTTTGGTGTAAGTGCGAAACCTGCGGGAATGACTAAAATAATGTGCAATACAAGCACTATTTAACCGTAGCGAATGAGACGTGTGTGAGAGAGAAGGGGTCGTCGGAGAGAAGAGAGCGAGAATGCGCTGTTGATTTGATTACATTTTTATTTTGAAGATTGTGATTAATTGAACATTTTAAATGAGACCTAATGAATATGGTAATAAATAAATACCATGTGTAAAATGTGTTCAAAATTGAGGTCAGTAAGAGTATATCATTTATTTTTTAAGTCTCTTATGCTCAACAAGTCTGCATTTATTTGTATAAAGTACAGTAAAAAAATGAATATTGTAAAATAGTAGTGCGGTCAAACGATTAATCGCGATTAATCGCATACAAAGGGTTTTGTTTGCATAATACATGTGTTCTCCGTGTATATTTATTATGTATATATAAATACACACATACAGTATATATTTTGAAAATGTATATGTCTATATTTATATTCATATAATTTATATTATAAATAATATATTTAATATATAAACATAAAATTTTTCTGAAATATATACATGCATGTGTGTGTATTTATATATACATAAATACACACAGCACACATACATATACTATGTAAACAAAAACTTTTATTTTGGATGCAATTAATCACGATTAATCGTTTTACAGCACTATTAAATTGGAAGTAGTTTTACAATTAAAAATAAATGTTTTATATTTTAACATTTTAAAATGTAATTTATTCCTGTGAAGAAAATGCTGAATTTTCAGCAGCCATTACTCCAGCTTTAAGTGTCACCTGATCCTTCAGAAATCATTCTAATATTCTGATTTGGCGCTGAAGAAAAATGTTTTGAAAATGTACATGTCTATATTTATATTCATATAATTTATATTATAAATAATATATTTAATATATAAACATAAAATTTTTCTGAAATATATACATGCATGTGTGTGTATTTATATATACATAAATACACACAGCACACATACATATACTATGTAAACAAAAACTTTTATTTTGGATGCAATTAATCACGATTAATCGTTTTACAGCACTATTAAATTGGAAGTAGTTTTACAATTAAAAATAAATGTTTTATATTTTAACATTTTAAAATGTAATTTATTCCTGTGAAGAAAATGCTGAATTTTCAGCAGCCATTACTCCAGCTTTAAGTGTCACCTGATCCTTCAGAAATCATTCTAATATTCTGATTTGGCGCTGAAGAAAAATGTCTTCTTATTATCAATGCTGAGAGCAGTTGTGCTGATTAATATTTTAGTGGAAACCATAATACTTTTGAATTCTTTGATAAATATAAAGTTCAAAAGAACAGCATTTATTTGAAATATCTTTACTGTCCCTTTTGATCAATCAAATGCATCTTTGCTGACTAAAAAAAAAACCTTTTGAATGATGGTCGTAAACTTTTATATATATGTACACCTTTTTATATATATATAACATGATATTGAATGGACAGATTGTGTGTCTGGATAACTTAACTTTCAAAGGGAGTTTCACTAATGGACTAGCACTAGTGTGCCATAACTCACCATTCTTGCGCTCTTTCAGGGGCAGTAAGCTTGGTACAGACTGCAGAGAGAGTTCCTGCAGCACACTGGTCACCGCCTCGCTCTGAGGACTGGGCACAAAGCCGCTCACCACGGCAGACACCATGCTGCCAGGGCTTAGCTCCTCCCCACGCTTGGCTTCCTGCGCTGCCAGGGTGACAGGTGGGTGAAGCAGTCAGACCTGTGACAGGTTAATTACAGAGACAAGGATGAATTAGAAACTGCAGAACACATATATAAAGGGCATCAGAGGCTTTGCTGAGGGTATATTTCTGACATCATGCATCTTTATATTTTGGAAGAGAACAAATAAAGACTTCACACCCTAAATAAATGACCTTTCTGAGTAAACTCATGTTTCATGCAGCACAGTCTGTGCTAAAACAAAAATTGTGCCTTGCATGTCCTATTAACCTATATTAAATCACTCGCTTACTTGAACCAGTGAAACCACTGTGGGTGTTACATGTTCTGTAAAGCACAAAAACTACAAGTTCAGACATGAAGTATTGTGCAACTCGCACTGGAACTCACACACAATCAATGTCTTCCAATATGACTGGAAGCAGCGATTTACACAAACATGTCAAATAACATCAGGTGGAGAACTCAAAGCCTCCAGCAGTACGTGATTTAGGATATTTTTTGGAAAACGCTTTGTCTGGTCTAATTTTCAACAGAACAAAGACCGATTGTATGGCTGTCTAATCTGCGAGTGAGAATAAGTCAGAGTTCTACACATCTGCAGCCCTGTGCATATTCATTTGTTAAATATTTTGGATAATTTGATCACGAAAACGGCAAACCATAGTATAACGCAATGCATAGTATTAATAAAACCTAAATATTTAATATCCAATTTCAGAAGAAGCTAATGAAAAATTCAGAAAAATGCAGTTCATTTTAGAACACTTACAGTACATGATTCATATGTACAACTTATATATTTTTTTATTAAAAGCTTAAGTAACCAGCACATTGTACAAAATATTTTCTTTTGTGTGTTCACAGCATTTTGTTTTAATTTTGGGGGGTACACACACACACAAACACACACACACACACACACACACTGTGGAGTAATTGAATTATCCACCCATCTGTCCACATCTCCATGTTGCTGATTTTGTCATTTAGCCTTCTTTTTATTTATTTGCTTTCATTGTCCTTTTCTTTCTTCATCCCAACAGTTGGGCAGAATGCATTAAGCAGGAAAAAGTCTGGCATAAGCCCTGGAAAGAATTTTAGGACAATCCCTGTAGCTGTAAAATCGCCACATGGAGCATTAGACGCAGTTTCCAACGAGACATTAAAAACAACTTAAAGTATCATCTGACTAGGAGCACAGTGATGGCAATGGTCATTCTGAGCATTAAAACTGTGGAGATGATGGCATTCACAAATGCACATTATGCAACTCTCCATTTGTGAGGTAATGTAGCACATCTATTGACATTAAAGGGACTGTCCACTCAAAAATTAAAATTCTGTCACCATTTACTAACCCATTTACCAAAGAAGATATTTTGAAGAATGCTGGTAACCAAACAGTTTTAGTTTTCTTTGACTCCTGTTGTATTTTTGTCTATATTGTATATTATGTAATTCACACGGAACCAGAACTATTCGGTTGCCAACATTCTTCAATATCTCTTCTTTTATGTGCCACAGAAGGAATGACATCTTACAGGTTTGGAACCACATGAGGGTGAGTAAATATGATAACAGAATTTTCATTTTTGGGTGAACTGATTTACTGGAAATAGATCAGCATATTAGAGGAGTGTTCCTGAATGCTGTTCTTAAAGAGCAACCAAATTAATGTCTAACTGTATGACTGAGTTGTTGTTTCGAGTAAGCGTTGTCCATCTTGTTACCTAATACATTCTTCATTATGATCTCATCAGCATCCAGAGTCTATCGATACGCCAATCCCACCCTCCCGTCCCAAGAGAAGAGAGGTGGGGTGGAAAGAAGAAATAATTTTCTTTTAAGCAGTTACCTAATATTTGACAAGCCTTTTGGGACTATTTAAAAGTTTTCCTATTGCTGTACGCCTAACCATTACAGCAGAGTTTCAAAACCCATGGCAAGTTGTGCTCTTTTCTTTAAGAAGTAGTATTAAATTACAGTACATTGTCTCCTGCCAGCTATGGGGGGGAAAAAACAGTAACACATGTTAATATTAAAACCTGGCTGGCTTATCACATGGCTCTCTAGAACTGTGGTTCCCAACCTTGGTCCTAGAGGCACCCCAACATGTCTCCTTAATCAAACACACCTGATTCAGGTCATCAGCTCATTAGTAGAGACTCCAAGACCTGAAATTGGTGCATCATAGAAAGGAGACATGCAAAATGTGCAGTGGTGGTGTGCCTCAAGGACCAGCGTTGGGAACCACTGCTCTAGAACACTTGATTCTGATCTAAGAGGTGAAATATTATTTTTGACGATGCAAAACTGTAAATTTCACAGTTACTCATGGAAACATACTGGTTCTGCTTTTGTATCACTCTATGCCTTCTCTCTTCTCATTCCAATGCAAATCAGAACAGCTAATTGGCAACACTGTGCAACTTAGCAGTTCAAATCAAATTATAGCAGCTCAGTTTTAATTTTATGGTTAGCATAAATTGATAAATAGAGGTTCCCAACCAGTGGGCCTCAGCAAACTTCCAAGGGGGCAACAGGATGACTTAAAAATATTTAAAATGAATAAATTATTATTAATATAGTAAAATAATTTAATGCTAATTAACATAGAAATGCAAAAAAAAATCAATAAATAACTGAATCACAAAATTAATCCAATAAAACAAGTGGTTTGTTTAACATATCAACACTTCCAATTTCTGACAATAAAAAAAAAACTCTTGGAGCATAAATGGTTGAGAACCCCTGCTTTATACACGCATAACAAACTTTTTTTTTTTACAGAATCTTTAAATTAATATACAAGAAAGATAAAATAACTTAATTACATGTTATTGTGTGTATTTATTAGGCAAGCAGATATTATGTACAGTCAGAAGAAATAATTTTCTTTTAAGCAGTTACCTAATATTTGACAAGCCTTTTGGGACTATTTAAAAGTTTTCCTATTGCTGTACGCCTAACCATTACAGCAGAGTTTCAAGACCCATGGCAAGTTGTGCTCTTTTCTTTAAGAAGTAGTATTAAATTACAGTACATTGTCTCCTGCCAGCTATGGGGGGGAAAAAACAGTAACACATGTTAATATTAAAACCTGGCTGGCTTATCACATGGCTCTCTAGAACTGTGGTTCCCAACCTTGGTCCTAGAGGCACCCCAACATGTCTCCTTAATCAAACACACCTGATTCAGGTCATCAGCTCATTAGTAGAGACTCCAAGACCTGAAATTGGTGCATCATAGAAAGGAGACATGCAAAATGTGCAGTGGTGGTGTGCCTCAAGGACCAGGGTTGGGAACCACTGCTCTAGAACACTTGATTCTGATCTAAGAGGTGAAATATTATTTTTGACGATGCGAAACTGTAAATTTCACAGTTACTCATGGAAACATACTGGTTCTGCTTTTGTATCACTCTATGCCTTCTCTCTTCTCATTCCAATGCAAATCAGAACAGCTAATTGGCAACACTGTGCAACTTAGCAGTTCAAATCAAATTATAGCAGCTCAGTTTTAATTTTATGGTTAGCATAAATTGATAAATAGAGGTTCCCAACCAGTGGGCCTCAGCAAACTTCCAAGGGGGCAACAGGATGACTTAAAAATATTTAAAATGAATAAATTATTATTAATATAGTAAAATAATTTAATGCTAATTAACATAGAAATGCAAAAAAAAATCAATAAATAACTGAATCACAAAATTAATCCAATAAAACAAGTGGTTTGTTTAACATATCAACACTTCCAATTTCTGACAATAAAAAAAAAAAGTTTAAAAACAAGCATCTTTGTCACACTTGGAGCATAAATGGTTGAGAACCCCTGCTTTATACACGCATAACAAACTTTTTTTTTTTACAGAATCTTTAAATTAATATACAAGAAAGATAAAATAACTTAATTACATGTTATTGTGTGTATTTATTAGGCAAGCAGATATTATGTACAGTCAGCAGGTTATCATCACAAAATGAATGCTTCAAGGTGATACAAGACTGATGAGATTGATGGGTCCCGATCCCGCTGCTGGAGTGTACTTTGTAGCAATGACAGACCGGCTGCACTCTATTCCTTATATTTCTAAGAAAGGGATTATCTTACAAGAACATTCCAACTTTACAGGAGAAACAGTGTTCAGACATGCAGTGTTCAGGTCTAGTACACTGACAAGGGGAAAGACGTAAAGCTCTCTGACATTCCTCATTGTGCAGGTCCACGCCTGCCTTTAAACATCAGCCACAAAAATAATGCTAAAAACACATAAGCCTTCACCTGAGAAATTGGCAAGTGATGCAGGTAACCCCATATCCCATTAACCAGACAGAACAACATCATCTGGATAGGCACAGCCTTCTGGAGTAGATCAGAAATTCTGAATTTGCCATGCTAGTACAGATGACTTCTTATTCAAATCAATATTAAATTGCACGATACCTTAAATATGAGATCCACAGCAACCGATTTCAGCCTCATTTCCACTCACAGTTTGAGAGCATCTTGAAGGCCTTGTGAAAGAGAGGATCGGCATTTGTAATGAAACTTTGTGTGTGTGTATATATATATATATATATATATACACACACACACACACACACACACAAAATAAATACATAATCATTGCACAATATCCCAAAGCCAAACATCTAAATTACGCCATGAGTTACAGATACGTGTTGCCATAGCAGCAGTCAATGCAGATGCTTATGTAATAATCAGACATGCCTCTTTTATATCAGTTCATGAGCATGCAGACAGAAGAACTGACCTAAATAGGCCAGAGTGTGTTAATATATAATAAGTCCCTTGATAGCTAGTCTGTGTCCACTGTCCATCAAGTGGAAAAGGGACAGATCCGCAAGTGTTGTTGATTAGTAGGTGTGTCCCAGCACTAGCTCATCAAATGTTTCATAATTCTCGTACAAACAGTACAATCATACAGCATTATGACAGTGATTTGGCTTAGAAAATAAACAAACCATGACACACGATTCTTTTTAACACTTATTATCGCTTGTTGTTACACATTCATCACTGATGCGACATGAGAGGAAATGAGAAGCTTGTGCTGCAATGAAGCTCATGCATTTGAAAAATCATCACACTAAACGGGCCAGATATAGCAGGCCAGATCGTCGACGCGACAGCTGCATGTATGTAGTAACAGACACTAGTCTAGTGGATCAAGTGAAATGTGCGCTGAGCAACAATACATGAGAAGCGGATGAATTGTCACATACCGCTAAAGGGGGACTCACATGCGAACCTGTTTGATTTGAACAACTTACCGAGTCGCAAAGTGAAACGCAACAACCGTTCGGCTTTATAAAGTTGTTCGTGTACTCAAAAAACTGTACTGAGGCATCCGGCTACTCTCTGCTGTTCAACCGCAGTGCGATGAAGCCAGTCAACACAGCCACAGCGCTTCCGGAAAATAAAAGTCCACCTAAAATAAAACCATCACGATCTGCAGATAAAGATGTATGACTGCCAAAAGTGTATTAATTGTCTTCCGAATATTGATAAACATAAAAATAAAAATATAATAAAATGGAAAACAAAACACCTTTACATTAAATAAATAATAAACAAACAATAACAAATATACAATGATAAATAACATAAAGCAAAATTAAATTAAACAATGTAGTCAGACAATAACTTGTGGTCTTGTGCTTGCAAGACCAATGGCGTTGAATAATTCTGCTATGAAAATAAAAAGTTAGGATTAGATTACCTTGCGTTAAAATAAAAGTCCCCATCACCACAATTTCCCCCCCAGTTTCTTCTGTAGGGACGTTTTATAAGAAAAGAAACAAAATATAAATAAAATAATGCACAAATAATAACACTGGGTGATAACTATATACAGCACATGTACCAACTGCACACCAGAATAACTAACTTTGAATGATTTATTGAGGCACTTACACAATTTAAACATGAGTCATGAACAAATTCACATTCTGAAGTGAACTGTAAACATTTTAAAGGTTATACATTCAGACAGCAAATGTGTATCCACATTCCGTTTTACTGCCTTACTAGATTTACTTCTATGAAAATAACATTTCTTAAAGCAATTCACATTTATGCATGTTTTGCAGCTATATAAAACAGTGAACAAGCCAAGTACAAAATCTTTTGTCCGCACCACTAAACAAACTGATGATAAACAAAAAAAATCTCTTAAAATAAGGCCCCTTCAGTCATAAAAGAACAGTGACATCAGAATACGAATTTATGTATATAAAACCAACATTTAAACATATTATAACCAGATCATTGGCTACAATAACATGTAGGCACTACCTAATAGCTATCAAAAACAACAGACAGGTCAATTAGAGATGAGGTTACTTCATACATTACTACCACAGCCTTCTCGGGGTTGTAAGACAATATTTATGACACAAGTATTGGTTCAGTGTATTTCCTTCCTCTCTACTGACTCGTCTATGACTCTTCTATCCAGCTCCATCTTGTTTGGTGACAGTTTCCCACGGACGCTATCAAAAAAAACAGACAGGTCAATTAGAGATGAGGTTACTTCATACATTACTACCACAGCCTTCTCGGGGTTGTAAGACAGAATATTTATGACACAAGTATTGGTTCAGTGTATTTCCTTCCTCTCTACTGACTCGTCTATGACTCTTCTATCCAGCTCCATCTTGTTTGGTGACAGTTTCCCACGGACAAATGATTTCTTTCACACCTCCTCTTGCTGTATCAGCACTGTCATCCTCCTCGTCTTCTGAATCAATGGGGTAGATGCGGCATTCAGGTGGGATGTCAACTTTGATTTGAAAAAAGCTGTATAAGCAGTTTGGTTACTTTTCATATATTGTAAAATCACATCAAAATAAGGCCAAAAAGTGCATGTACTCACTTTGCAATTCTTCTGGGCTGAGGTTGTGCAAGTGGCTCCACTCCAAGGGGCTGTACTTTGCCTCCTCCTGAAGCCACAGCACATTTTGGGGATAGGCTGGCAAAGACAGATGGGGCATTGCATCCTCTGCGGAGGAGTCTGCTCAGTGACAGAGCCATACGAGACTTTGGGGCAGGTGGCTGCTTCTCTTCCTCTGATACTGATGCCTCTGCAATTGATGGGAAATGGGAGGAGGAAGGCCCTCCGTTGCCATCAAACCTCCTCTCTGAGGCTGGAGTGCTGTCGATAGCGACGCTGATGGGAGACGGGCAGGCAGCACTGTTGGGCAGTGTCATGAGCCCAGGGGAGGCAGTGGATTGTGCTTCACAAATGCCTGTATATACTGCCAGATGAGGCACAGGTGCTGTGAACCGGCAGAGCTGTGGGACACAGTTCATGCAAAGTATGTATTGGTACTAAACACTGTTTGTGTTGAGTAACCTGCAATTAGGAATAGAAAATATAGACCATGCAATACAGTGCATTTCTGGCAGGAAGTCCATCCAACAAATCAATGAAATGTATATTAGGTCATTTGAATTTGATGTTCAGGGAAAATTGTACTGATTTTGTCTTCTGGGAAACCTTCTGTAGCTTCTGAAGGGCAGTATTAAATTAAAAATATGTATTTGAACAAAATAAGAAAAATGTACACATCTTCATTCTGTTCAAAAGTTTTCACATCTCTTAATGTATCTTGTTTCCTTCTGGAGCATCAGTGAATGTTTGAACCTTTGCAACTTTTGTAAGAGTTGCCCACGTGTCCCTTAGTTGTCACCGATACATATATCGTTTTAGTGCAGTTTTAGTGCTAAAACTGTGCTGTTCTGTGTACATACTGATTAAACTTAACTGCTTCATAACAGTCTACTCATAACAAAGAATTCTGTTTTACATATATGCAAATAAAATAACTGCATTTGTATGAGAGCAGAATAAGCATGACATCTAGTGATCATGATACAATGCACTTCAAAGGTTTTCAAGGCACTGTTTTTACCATAAATTTGCATCCTATATTTGAGACAGTTGGTGTTTACATGTACAGTAAATGAACATACTTTCCAGAAGGCCAACAATTCACTAATAACATTTTTTTTTATTGGTCTTATGAAGTATTCTCATTTGTTGAGATAGTGAATTGGTGGGTTTTTGTTAAATGTGAGCCAAAATCATCACAATTAAAAGAACCAAAGACTTAAACTACTTCAGTCTGTGTGCATTAAATTTATTTAATACACGAGTTTCACAATTTGAGTTGAATTACTGAAATAAATGAACTTTTCCATGACATTCTAATTTATTGAGATGGACCTGTAGATGCAGTGACTCATGCTGCACTGACACTGTTGTCTTGAAAGTCTTGCTTGCCAGCCAAGGTCATCATTCACTTTCACTGTATAGAAAGAAGCATCCTGGACCACTCTCGTGCTTATGAAATAAAGCAAGTCATTGCAGGTTTCAAACCACACGAAGGTGAGGAAATGATGACAGAATAGAATGATAATTTCCTCTCAGTTAATGACATGAGGTCAATGTTATTTTAGACAAGACTATGCACAAACTGATGAGATACATACCGTTTTGGCCCGAATATAAGATGGCCCTGATTATAAAACGACCCCCCTTTTTCCAGATGTACCTTTTGGAAAAAGGCTTTTTTTTTTAAACCAAATCTTGTTTTTTCTCAGTAAAACACATTTTGTCTTCAATTGTTTTCATATTGCATATTTTTCCTATTTTAATTTTTGTTTTAAAAGTATGGTAAAAACTGGTCAAATGTACCAACAATCACATTTAAAAAATATACACTTTTTGATATACCATAAAAATAAAAAAAACAGGTAGCCCATATGAATTAGGACATTTAGGCTATCCATCTAATAGTAGCCTACCAAAATCTTATTAACAGTAGAAGTTTAATCTTACTGTAGTCTTCAAATCTGGGTACTGTCTTACGTTTTAAAATCACAAAGGGAGTTTGGTCCCATCAGGCTAACGTGACAGTCACGATTCATGCAGCTGTAAGCTTTTCTTTTTCTTTTGTTTTTATACAGTCTTTTGTTTTTACTCGCGATCTTTACAACACGCATTACATTACGCATTCCATGGCACTCTCGTTTTATGCGTATTTGGCGCCACCTATTGTTGTGGGTGTATTATTGACATGTCAAAGTCTAGACCCTGAATATAAGACGACCGCGTTTTTTCAGATGTATTTCAAGAAAAAAACATCGTCTTATATTCGGGTCAATACGGGTATATACATTTCACTCAACAACAACCACAAATGACAAAGACAAATGATGTGACAACAGATGGCATAAATGGTTTTACTATGTATTTGAATAAATTCATGATTTACAGCAAACTTGCAAATGAAACAAACATGAGAAAAAAAACTAGTAATGAGGAGGACAACATCTGATCGTTTTTGGTTGTATGAAATGAAGTTCGACACACGGGAGATGTATGACATTTGACAAAACATAAATATGAGAGATTAAAAATGATTGTGAATGACAAAACTGTGAAAGAATAACATAATGGCCTAATAAAAATGCTAAATGGAAGTTTTTGATGCCATTTCAAAAATATATCAAGCAAACTTTCAAAAACTAGAAATATCTGTGTAACATTACAAACACAGCAACATGCTCTCTATATAAATAAATGAGCTTGCAAGTCTGTTTATTGCTTTGACCAGAAAGGTGGTTTTCCGTTTTGTTTATCATAAATATTTGCTTATATCTATTCTTCGTGTTCTAGGTCTCTAGGTTCAGTTTTTCTGTTTCCTTTCCAGTTTGCTCATGACCTGTGTGATGTCCACCGGGCCACTCGCTGCAAGTTTGGCCTTCTGTTCTTCCTCCTGCTGTCTGAGGATGATGGGACTCAGGCTGGGCCGCCTTCTCTTGGCATTCTGCTCCAACTGCGTCTCACTAGGAGACATTTGAAAAGAGTAAAGAACATTTTTAATGTCACTTATGCATTATAAAGCATATATTGGAACTAACAGAAAGGTGCATCTCACGTGAATCTGTGTGATTCAGGAGCAACGGCCTTCTTTTGAGTTTCCTTGAAGACTGGGGACTTGAGATATCGCCCGTATGAGTCCTAAATGACAGATCATAGCCAAAATTAAATTCAAGTTTGTAAACGGCACAAGGCATTTTGAGTTGCAAAGTTTTACATGAGATCAGAGACCTTTTTCATGAGCATGTAAATGTGAGTCTGGGCTGCATCCAGTACATAACGATGAGGATGTGCCAAACCCTTCACTGTTATGTCCATTGTTTTGCCATCAATGTTGATCCAACGTGGAGCTCCACGGGCCAAAAAGGTCCTAATAAAAAAAAAATAAAAAAAATGCCAGCATTAAATGCTGATATTTATTATTTATTTATTAGTCCTTAGTTTCATTAATGATTCAAACAAGTAGGAAAAAAACTGAAAAAATATATATTTTATAATTATAAAAACTGTTGCTATGTAGATGTATTTTGAAAAGAAAGAATATATATATACACATATATGTGTGTGTGTATATATATATATATATATATATATATATATAATGTGTATATATATGTATAATAAATTAAATTATTACATTTCAGCTGCTGAAAATGGTTGTTTTTCCCTCACAGAAATAAACTGCCAAAAAAAAGCGTTCCTTACTTATATATTTGCTGAGCTTTTTCTTTCATTGTCTCAGCAGCACCCCATTTCAGATCCTCACACGCCTCCCAGAAGGCAAGATTCTCACCTATTCAGTAATCAGATTATAGTCACAGTTTCCTCTAATAAATAATAATCATTGCAGTTTTGAATATGAACATTAACAATTAAATAGCATTTTTAAAATAGGGTAGACCTAAACCAACAAGTCACCAAACAAGTCTAATGCCAACATTGTTCAAATGTTAGCATCTAGTGGAGCAAGTTTAGAAACATGCATACCACTGAACTCTTTTTTAAGGAAAAGGCGGAAATCGGCCCTTCCCCGAGGGTCCATAAGCAGTTCTCCAAAGCTAAAAGTCCAGCGCTCCACCCTCATTTTAGTAGGGGTCTCAACACTGTATGAACCAAACACACAATATTTAATCACATGTTTAATTAAGAAAAAAACAAGCTTTTGTTTAAATAAAAATGTTTGTATCTGGCTCACTTTGGCATGTTGAGGGTCCAATATGTAACATCATCTGTTATCCAGGGGCTGCTTGGGAGGCAGGTGTGGAGAAATGGGTCATGCTCTTTGTATGTTGTTGTGTACTTAATAAGTCTGCAAAAAATTACAATAAAATTAAAAATAATATTAGTATACATGTAATATAATTATATATTAAAATATTTAATTTTTTTTTAATATACAGGATTCTACCCATAACATGTTATATCACAGTAACATACGCTCCAATTGACACAGACGACTTCACCCTTGGTCTCATGATACACTGCTGAATGAACATAATCTGCAAGAAAACACAATGATTCATTGGTCAAAAAAAATATATATATTTTGCTTTTTGCATCTAAATATCTGTGCTAGTTAAAGTTCTTCGGTACTTACAATTCTTCTGTAGTAGTCAGGTGTTTTTTTCTGTAAAACAATTTTAGAAACAGTTTAAGCGCAAAGAAAGGAAGTGGTGACACATACTAAAGGACAGTGTTGAAGGCAAAAGATTGACATTTGAGCATGTTTGGTTTAAGAGTCTGAAGAGAGAGTGAACATGGTCTCTTTGTGGACTTGCAATGTCATTTTAAAAAGCATGCACTCATATTTATATTAAACAGAGTGCATCTGATTTCATGATCCACTGAGTGTGTGCTTTCATTTTGTAGTCATCTGCTGTTTCTTGTCATGTGTCTCAACAGATACATTTAGGAATCTGTAGGAAAGAAAGAGAGAAAGGGTGTAAGAAAAAGCTATTTTATTGAATACAATCAGACCTTTGCAGTGGCAAGCAGTCAGATTATGATCATTTAAATCCTATTGGATATAAGCTGACATACTAGAAATATCCTTGATAAGCCCAGCACAACGGGCTCTCATCACAAATATAATCTCAGCAGTAGTATCTGTTAATGTTAGATATACAGCCCCGTGTCTCATTACAAGATTCTTCATCAGACCTACTATACTGTATTTTGAAAGCCTAGTTGTCATCTTGAATGTCAAAATATTTTAGTTTTTCTCTTTAGAAGTTAATACGATTATTTTTCACACATACCTTTACCTCCTCCATATTAGGGTCGACCATCCTGTCGTGTCCATAGTCCATGGCACTAACTGTTCCTGGCTGTTGAGTGGAAATAGCACAATTGTACTTTCACATCTTTAAGTCACTTTGCCAGGAAATATGTCACTTAAATTGACCTTATATACTCAGTCTAAAGGCAACTCACCGGTGGCCGATGTACAACCCAGTAGGCCCGTTCCTGACAATCAAAAACCACCCGGTCTGGCTTCTTCCTCTCCTTACCCGCCCTACACAAAAAGCAATGCGTCTTTTACAGTGGTGGCCAAAATTATTAGAACACTTGACAGATCTGAAAATATTGACATTTTTTAAACATGATTTCATTTCATAATGTTCATGAAACATGCAGACGATTGCTCTGAGCACAACAAATATCAGATGAAGTGAGTCGTACTGTCCACTTTTAACTTTAATATTTGGTATGTCCACCTTTTGCAGCAATTACAGCAGTGCATCTCTCTGGCATAGTGTCAATATATTTTCTGAGAAAAGTACAATAGATCTGTCCAGTTTATTTTCCAACTCGCCCCAAATTTGCTCGATGGGGTTGAGGTGCGGACTTTAAGGAGGCCAGTCCATCATTTTCAATGTTCCAGCAGATTCCTTCTGTCGCAGGTAGTTCTGGCAATAGTTTGATTTATGGGTATTGTAATGGCCAATTCAACAAAAACAACTGAAACCTTTTAAATTTGCCAAGGGTTCTAATAATTTTGGCCACCACTGTATATGCTGAAACAAATAGCTATATAAATAAAATACACACTGCCTGGCCAAAAAGTTGCTGTTTGGATTTAAATAAGCAAATACTGAAGGGTCTAGGATTGGATTATTTTTGCCATGATTAATATATTTTGAGAAACGGTTCTTTTAACTCTAATTGACGCAGTGTGTAGCTTTTAATAAAAAACATGTCTGGAAAAAGTATCTAGGATGACAATGACCAGATCCACTGGGCTCAAATTGTGAAAGAGTGATTCAGAGAGCATGAGAAATCATTTTCACACATGAATTGGTCACCATAGAGTTGTGTCCTTAACCCTTCTGAAAGTCTTTGAGATGTGATGGAGTAGGCTTTAAAGAAGGGTTTGACTATCCCATTGTCGATACAAGAACTTAACGCAAATCTTGATGGAAATAAATGTGGTGTTGCATAAGGTTGTTGGAGCAATGCCACAACGAATACACACAGTAATCAAAGCTAAAAGCTGTCAAATGAAATATTAGTGTGCTTTTTTTGGCAAAGCAGTGTGTGCCTGAGCAAGAGAAACATTCACTGACATTCACTAACATGTGTACACATGGATTGATTGAGCCATGATGATCAATCATAAATATTCTGCAATATTTAAAGTAAAGTGTGACCCACCTGTACTGCTCTTTGGCCTGCATTACAATAAAATCCCACTTGTGATTCATCCATTTGTAAAGATTGTTGTACTGTTCCTGAGTAGAGAAACATACAAATTTGATGTCTAGTCTTGTAATTTGTCATGCAATTTATTATAGTGACTTCCTCTTCCTCTGCATTACAACATAGGATTTCACAGAAATTAATATATATTTAATACATAAGTATTAAGACAATGAAGGATAAGATGTTCAATTACCTGTTCATACAGCTCCAACATCCCTTTCTTGCGTATATTTCTCTTTGCCAAATAAATTGCTGGAGATACACATATAAACATCTGACCTTGTCAGTAAAAGCCAATTTAAAGATGTGATATGACTCAACATGAAAGCAATTTATCACATTCTTTATCTCAGACAGCTGTTTGAAGAATAATGAACAACCTCACTGTGAATGATTGCTATGACAACCTATCAGCACGCATGAAAAATGAAAGATGATTACACACCATAGTCTGTGTCTTCCACCAGCCACTGCTGCGCAGGCCAAAAATATGGGGTCTGGAAGAAGAAATGTATAGAAGTAGGAATGGAAAAGATTAGTACAAAGCATATGGAAGGAAGAACTCCTGTATGCTCACCAGTCAAATAAGTAATATTATGAAATAGTATCACAACTGCTTTCTACTGTAATATATTTTTAAATGTTAATCATTTGTGTAATGGGCAAAGCTACATTTTTACAACCATTACTCCGGTCTTTAGTGTCCCATTATCATTCAGAAATTATTCTAATATGCTGATTTGGTGCTCAGGAAAACTTTCTCATTATTAACAAAGTTGTGTTGCTTAATATTTTTTTGGAAACCGTAATGGTAATATATGTTATTTTATAGGTTGTTTGTGAAAATTACCTGAAAGCGGTACAGGGATGTGTCTGGTTTAAGGATGAGTCTCTTATGATCTTGTAGTGGATAGATGTACCCAAACGCCACCATCATGGTCCCCATAGCTCGGGCCTCTAAGCATTTAGAGTGAGAACGTTAAACAAGACCCAAATGAACAGTACGGCATCTCACACCATCGAATTGCATAGCAAGAATATCTTAAAGCATATCTGTAATAATACTTAATACAGATCTGGAGTGGGATATATTTTTTCAGAATTATTATATTACAAAAAAAAAACGATGTACTTGACTTACCCGCAGCATCTGTTTTGAATCGATTAGCGATCCATGCAACAATATCTTCCCCTGAAAGAACAACATACATAATAAACATGTTAATAGTTAAATTAAAATGTTTCAGAGTAATAAAAGACTGTATCAGTGGGTGGGAAAGTTGGCCTTCAGTTTGAATGTGCCCACCAGGAGTCATCAGCAAAACACACACACACTAGGGTTATTAAAGTTAACCAAAAATATATATATATATGTTATTTTTTTAATATTTAAAAAATATATATATATATTTTTTAATATTTTATATATATATATAATAAAATAAACATAAAAAATGTGGTACTTGAAATAAAGTAAATGTGAAATAAAACATATCAAACAATTATTTCAGCTAGTTGCCCAGAAAACATTTCTCATTTTTATTTTGAAGCACTATACTAAAATAAAAAAAGAAATAAATAAAATCCATAGAGACATAATGACAAAAACATACAAAATGAAAACAGAAAACATACAAATAACAAAAGCATAATAATAATAAAAACTTAGTATCTCAATGTTACTAAAATAAAACTAGAGAGGTATCCTGGCAGCCAGTCAATACTAATATGAGCATTTATGAAACATAATGAGAAACTATTAAAGCTTTTCTCAGTTTCTCTGCTATGAGTGTCACTTAGCGGAACTAAAAAAATAAAGCATGTTTTCAAACAATCTCTGCAAATGCTCCTTTTGCATGATGTCAGTCCCCCCAACACCACAAACACAGCTCTAATGGGTCTATAAAAGTGAAGGCATATCTTAACCAGTAAAATAGGCTACTTTCAATAAAAGGTCCAACCTATTAGGAATACTTTTAACTAGAAGTTTAACTTATCAAGAAGAAAGTTTGTCATAACGACTGAAACACAAACTTTCCATCAAATTCCTCCATCTTTGTAAAAACACAGCCAATGTTTACCCTTGTTTTACCTCGATGTCTGTCTGTATATTTTTACAAGGCTTTGAATTTCGGACCGAATGCAATGATTAGACAAACACTTTGCGGTCCTCCTGAGCCTTCCACAGAAGATATATACAGTATATATATATTTAGACTACTTTAATTATATATTGATCAGGCTTTGAAGAGACTTTCAACCAGTATATCAAAAAATGTTTATGAAAAACTTAGCCTACCATAGCATTAAGAGGCAGAGAAGAGTATATGCAAAATAAAAATGCTGAATTGGAAGTAAAAACGGAGGCAGAGATTAATTACAAAGTATATAATTTATAAGTTTTTAAATTTTTATTTTTAAATGAGAGATTCATAAAGACCATTAAAGGAAAAACAACAGTCAGTATTGGACACAATACAAAGGTGCGTTCTCAAAATAGGTATTGCACCACTGTGTGTCCCGCTGAGGCTCTCGTGATAAGAGACTAATGAGAAGATCTCTGCAGGGGTGATTCTGAGTGGCTTCATTAGAGTCTGCTAGCCTGAGGAGCAAACCAGATCATTTCAATGAATTTTTAACTAAAAACCTCAGGTGTCTTTCCACTATATAAATTATATCAAGACTGCTGCGAATAATCCGAGGCTCCAATTGAGCAATCACAAATTTAAGTTAATCATACGGCGTATGTTACATGTCGCTGGCTGACAGCATTAAGACCAACAGTGGAGATTACAAGAGCTCTCCTCCCTGAAACCACGCAGCCTGGAGGAGACAGTCATTGCAACCAGCTGCTCAGAGGTTGTCATGGCAATAGATTCTTCAGTCTCAGACCCACATAATGCACTCCCGAAGAGTAATCTAACAGCACAAATCAATATAAATGAGTAGGTGAGCCAACTATTTTTAATTACAAGTGCTGTGTCTTACATCCCATGGTGTTTATCAGCTTGAAACCTGCAAAGATTGGCTCTTGAGTAATAGTCTAGCAGCTATTTCTGAGGATCTCACCTGTTATAGCATGTGGGATGGTGGTGATTACAAGCCTCTGGGTCTGAGATTTCACTCCAGTTTTGGGGTCCTGCATCTCCAACACCACGTTCTCCACCTAACATGCAAAAAATGCAATATGTATGGACAATATAAAAACATCTATTTTTTTACCTTGCGGCAGCCTGTGTGCACATCTCACTAAATTATTCCACCGTGAAGTCATCCCTGCTGGTTTATGGTCTGAAGGGGCTGCGACTGACCTCTTTGAAATATGCTCTGTGATTGATTTGTGACTCAGCTGTTTGAAGTTTTTCTTGCTTTGTCAGGGTCTCTGGCTTTTGAAGACTGTTTGTGAACTCTTGCTGCACTCTGGTCTGGATCACAGAAAGCTCTTGGCCGAGTTATTGGGTCATTACTATCTGTGCATTGGCAAAGAGTAAAGTAATGCACTAATAAAACATATTCTAGTGGATCACACTGTCGGGGATCACTTCAAGCGTGCAGTTTGAAGTATCATAGTGATAAAATAGGGACTGCATTATATGAGAGGCTCATGGCAAAGCTAGACTAATACCATTAGCACACACTGACCTTACCTGAGAGTAAGCTGCTCATAAACAATTAACACTGCAAACATTTTTTAATTCATTTGTCATAACATCTTTACAATGCATATAAAATGTAACCGTTTTCTTCAAACTGTTAATTAATTTTAAAGTGGTTGAAAAGTTTGATTTTGACACTACTTTCATTTCTGTTATTGTAATAAAGCAATTCATTTTACTTTTTAAATTTTGAATATTTATAGTATAATTGACAAATTAATTAATTCAATAGATTTTTTTTTTGTGTGGGTCAAATTTGTGGGAGTAATAACAATAAAAAAAGGAGTTTTCTTCAAACTGTTAATTAATTTTAAAGTGGTTGAAAAGTTTGATTTTGACTACTTTCATTTCTGTTATTGTAATAAAGCAATTCATTTTACTTTTTAAATTTTGAATATTTATAGTATAATTGACAAATTAATTAATTCAATAGATTTTTTTTTTGTGTGGGTCAAATTTGTGGGAGTAATAACAATAAAAAAAGGTAACTGGAAATAAAATGAACAAAATCTAGAAAGTGAAAAAAAAAATCTAAATCAATGTACATGGAAAGCCAAATCGATAAAAAAAATCCTGACCTGAAAACAATGTAGGAAAATGTATGTATGTATGTATGTATGTAGCCTATGTAAATAAATAAATAAATGAAATAAAAACAAACAAAAAAGACAAACGCAATTTAATTTACAATTGTAATTGATTCAATTGAAAAGTTTCTCTGTGACCAAAACAAGGGCAGTGTTCCGCATACTCTTAAAATAATCTCTTTCTGTTCCAGGTAACCACTTTTTTTTTTTGGCACATATGCTACAAGACGCTTTAATGTTCTGAATGGATGGAATCACCATTGAAAGTGAAATTGACAGTCCACAACACTACATGATAATGAAGATTAAAGTAATTATATTGCTGTGCTCAAATACAGCAAGACAAGCAGAAATATCCCTGGATCTTAAAGCATGAAGGATTACATGTTTGATTATAGAAATCAAATGTAGCATTATTCTTATCTCATTCGCGAGAACGTAAAGAACACAGATGGTGATGAGCTATGGATGATGCTCTCAACCCACCTTCTTCAGGCATGCCATACGGGGTCTGTAACGCTGTCCATGGTCCCGTACATTCCTTATGGTCATGTTCGCCTCTTCACGCCACAGTCTGTCGACGGTCGAAGACGAGAGGATGAAATGGGAAATACTCGGTAGGTAATCGTACGAACGTTTTGGCTGTGTCTAATCTATAATCATCACTGATGCACACAAAGACGATGGCTGTGTGCGCCAATCAGGTAACAGCTCTTGCTCGTGTAGGTAAACCTGCATGCTGAGGGCAGTGATTACAGTAACGCGTCATGTCCGGTAGATGGCGCTGTGGTGTCATCTTTTTCACATGAAGGCAGCAGGGGCTGACAACAAAACAAAAGCCTCTGAGCTGGATTTATGATTATTATAATCCATAAACCATTTCTTATTGTGATTATCGTAAATAAAAAGGTTTTACTGGGAAGAAAAAGAAAATCTGCGCGTGTAAAATGTTAATTGTATTATCATTCATATTATGCAGGACCGTTTAGACTCTGCAGTCTGCAATACAAAAAGAAAAAGAAAAGGAAAGGAAAAATGCTATATGCTTGTGTTGCAATATGAGAAGGTATGTCTGTAAAACGACGTAGCAGATTTCTAAAAAAAACATATGCTTTGGACACTAAAACTTTATTATAGCAATTATAATTTCATTATTTACACAATGGCAATGACAGATGAACAGGATCCTAACAGGATGGAAATAAAAAGCTACTGCACGAGAGTCCGAGTGTCAAGTTGAAATATATAGGCTATACGGTGAACACTCGTTAAATGAACACTAAGATTATGAGGATGGAGTGACACTGACAGGCTGTAAAAAAACATTAAATTGTTAGAGATTAGAAAGGGGGGAAAAACAAGAAACACCTGCAATACTTATAAATTTGCCAGTTTTTGTTTCAGTTCAGAAGTGGCAAAACATTTACTCAAACCAAATTATTTAAAATTACCACTATGTTTACTATATTGTCAGTTGTGTTAAAAGAGAACTGTTTTATCCGATATATTAGTACATGGCCTAGACATGAAAATGTAGGCTAATGCTTAACCTTCAAAGACCCAAATCTAGAATAATAACTGTGAAAAAATTATTTCACCTTTAAAATGTTCTTGTAGGAGGCCTCTAATGCAGAAATACATGTTTCTTTGTTGTTGTTGTTGTTTTTTACATTTCTGACATTTTAGTAAGATTTTAGGGCAATATTGTAATATAGCAACGTTGGGCTCTTGGGTTTCAGAATTTCTACTCACTATCTGAACAAATGTTGAGGACATCTAAAGGTTCATTTGCAAGGTGTAATTCTTCTGTAACCTGTGTAAATCAGTGGCCTATATGAATATATACAATAATAACCACACAATGATACAATAAGTCATATTTTTATGAAAAGATTATTTATTATAAAAAAAATTATATATATATGCTCAGATTATATTTAGCTACAGAACCTGATGAACTAAATGAAAACTTTCATTAGGCTACTTGACTTTAGAACTTTCATCACTTGTATCAGAGTCCATCTCAAAGTCACTGTTCCCATTTTGGACGGCACCAGTGATATCATACGCATATGATGAGATGGTCTTTCCTGGCTGATGGCATTCTGAAACAGAAAAAAACACTGATTATTTTCTATGATAAATAATCTCAATGCAAATCGATTCCAATCAAACTTACACATTTTAAAGAATTCACCCATTCCACAGAATTCACAGATTTCAAAGAAATTCACACAACACTGTCCGATAGCTTATTGTGCCCTCAAATGATCATGCTAATAGCACTGATACCCCCACATTCCAGAACATTATCACCTGTTCCTCATGCAGCAGGCAGATATTTGGGCAAACAAGCAAAGCCCATAAAAAAAACAGAACCAGTTAAGGATATTTTATAAATGATAAGATATAGATAGTTTCAAATATTGCTACACAAATGTTCCTCATTCTTGAGGAAATAATTTATTCTTCAACTTATTTAATAATCATTATATATTGATTGAAACTCAAAATGGTAACACAGAAGACATTTAAAACTTGTGAATGATCAAAACCGTATGTTTTTCCGTAAAAGTTTTTTTTTTTTTTCAAAATTACAACACTGACATAGCAAGCTCAAAATCTAAAATGATCAAAGCATTCGACAATACCTTAATATCTACATTATCTAGACATATTACGAATCACAGGAAAAAATATTTTAGGCATTTTACTTACTTGAATGTTGATTTACCCAGTCTAAAACAAGACACAGGTTGTGTGACTTCACGTCCATGTAAATAGACCTATTTTTAAAATCTAGCATCCAATTGCATTGCAAGGCTGAAAAATAAGACCTATTAATTGCATAAATGTGGTTTTAGAGAGAGAGAAAAAAACATGAGCAGGGTTTTTTAGTCCAGCTAAAAATTATGTTGTAATATTACAACAGTGGGAATTGTCCCCCCCCCCCAAAAAAAGATTTGATTAAACAATAAGTAGTTGTCCATTTCCAAACATTAAACCACACCCGTGGTATCCGCCTATTTGTAAAGAGCACGTGATCGTGCCTCGCGCGGCAGTGCGAGTGATGTATCTATCCATCCATGAAGTCTTTACTACAAAGATGGCGGATTTCCTGCCCTCCCGGACTGCTATAGTTTGTATTCCCAGTTGTCTTCTATCCAGCGGCGAAATTGACCAAATTAGAAAGTCTAAGGACATCGATAAAAGCTTGTCTCGAGAGAAGACCTATGTGAAGAAACTGGTGAAGATCTTGCTGTTAGGAGCAGGCGAAAGTGGCAAGTCAACTTTCCTCAAACAAATGCGCATAATTCATGGGCAGGACTTCGATCAGCGGGCCAAAGAAGAGTTCCGGGCTACAATCTACAGCAATGTTATCAAAGGTACCACGCTAGTAGTTTGAAATCGAAAGAGATAAGTTCATTATTAAAAAAGGAACACTTTGATGAAAACTCAGTTTTGTTGTAGCTGCAGGTGGAAGTGTTTTATCGACTACTTTCGCGTAACTTACGCAAACTTTCGATTGCTCACCCAGCCCATAGACGACGCGAAGGACAGTGGCTTTAAGTGTTGGGTTTGTTGAACTCCAGTTATACATATATCAGATAAAGTATCTGGACTTAGAAAACGGACACGACTATTTCGAAAACATTTACTTACGTTGCCTATGTTCTAAACTTGGCGCCTCGAGAGAAAGTACAGCGCCTACTTTGGCCTGTGTTAGTCATCTGGATGTGTGATTGTTTTATGACATTATTCTGATATATGAATCTCAACTGATTCTTGAGACATACCTGACAAAACAGATACAATGCTACAGATGTTAGGAAGGAAAAGTAAGCCTTTTTAGTCATGTTTCGGTTTGATCTCCTGCTTCCACTTTATGACAAAATGCTTGTTTTTCCTCAATATTAGTCAACACCTTTCAATATAAATATTTATTTCATATGTATTATAGATATCCACTTACATGAATTAATTAATTCATATAAGGATGAGGTTTTGATTAATTTTAATACGGCCAGTCAAAAACGTATTACAAAACTATTTTAAAAACCATAAAATAATTTTTGTATACTGTATATTACACTTGGTTATAGAACTCAACTGTAGCCCATCTGACCTTGTTGACCTCATAAAAAGGGGAAATATAAAAAAAGGATTTTCATTTTTACAAGTTTGATGATGTTGACAAAAAATGACTGTTTTACTATGCATTGTCTGAGGATGCATAGTAAAACAATGCCATTTCATTTTCTTTTTAAGGTACATGTCAGCAGCCTCAAATATATTTTTTATAGTAACATGATTAATGTAATATGTCACCATTTCTAATGTCTATTTTTAGGTATCCGAGTGCTGGTGGATGCCCGTGAGAAGCTGCACATCCCTTGGGGAGATCCTGAGAATCAGGTTCACGGGGAGACAGTGATGGGCTTTGACACCCGCTCATCCATGATGGCCAAAGGGATGGTGGAGACCAAAGTCTTTCTCAACTACCTGCCCTGCATCCGTGCCCTGTGGCATGACAGTAGTATTCAGAATGCTTATGACAGACGGAGAGAGTTTCAGCTGGTAAATATAAAATGATTACTCATTATTTTATAAGTATTAATTATTGTGCATCGTTTGGCGTGATCATTTCAATTGTTCTTAGTGCTAAAGTTTTGGATATAGAATCCACTCAATCTTTTTCAAAGGATTTGTGTAATTATGGGGACTGTGAACTTGAAGGAATGTTGATCTGTTGTTAAACAGCTTGGTATTATGAATCATGGCAGATAAGCACAGTGTACTTGCACAATTACTCCTATCAAGCTTTTGCGCCAAAGCGTTAATCATGGTGAAATGTTTGCTTATGTATTTCATACATTTGGAATGTAATTAAGCAGCCATTTTTTGATATTATTGGAATGATTATGTTTTAAAAAATCATGTTTGTTGTGTGTGTAGCGTGGGCATTGGTTGTAACCTGAGAGTAATGCACAGGTATGAGTTGAACACAAATGAAGTGACTTTACTCATGACAATGAGGGCATTTTGTCTGTGCATGAGTGTAGTTTGCATTTCAGTTATGAAGATAAGATCATGCATGTTCAGGGGTAGAACCCTTGTGACTGAGATTAGGATTTAGCTCATATTTTCCAACTAAAATCTCCATTGTCATACAAGTTGTGATTTAAGACCCGTTTATCTGTATTTATTTAGCGATAAACATTCATTTTTGGTGACCAAGTCACTTTCTCTACTTGCTGCTGATTTGCATACACCACAAAGCAAGCCAATAAGCGGCCATGCTGCAGAGCCTCATTTTCCTGATTTTGTGTTAGGTAAAATTGCTTCTGAATAAGACCAGATTAACCTAGTATATCATAGTAGGGTCTGCCTTGGACCAGAAGATCTGGTGGAAAATATTGCATGATTATGCTGTATTGTTTGTGTGTGTGTGAGAGTGTAAAAAAGAGAGAAACTCACAATTATTTTTATTTTATTTTTGGACAGGGATGTATAGAGTAACAGGAAATGGATAAAATAGGAAAATTGGGACACAGCACAAGACAAATTCAAAGTTGCACCCTCTGCACCATAGCTCACACGCTGGAGACCTAATAATGATTGTGTGTATCTTTTTTTATCTTCTTAGGGTGAATCTGTGAA